TTCGGTTAACTCCGAGTCCCTGATAGTGTGTCCTAGTCCAAAAGCTATTTAGCCTAGTCCAAAAAATAAGCATCAAAAATTAGTCGAACCACGAAGCCTTAAAAGTTTTCAAAAAGTATTTTGTATAATAAATTTTTTGCTCTTGTCGCATTCACCCCGCAAATATTTATAATTTCTAATAAGAGTTTATGAATTAATTTTAGCGATATTATTCGTATACACCAGCCATTTGGGGTTTCCTCTCAGACCAAAACCCCCCAAAAATGTAAATTATACGTTAAAAAGGTTCAAAATTTACTTTATATTAAATAACTTAACAGAAAATATTTTAAATGCAAATTTAGTTCAATATGATTCTGAACATTAAATTAACGTGTGGGGGAGGGGGGTTAAAAAATTATTTGGATGGGGGGATTTGTCCCAAAATAATTTTTTGTTACTATAAAAAATTCTTATATATTATAAATTTTGGTGGTCTTTATATAATCTCGGTAAAGTTGGCTGAACAAGCCCTAATTCTAAAATATGGCAATGATTTGTGCTTTATTAGAATCTGGCTGTAATCAGTATAGTAACCAGTATAAAGGAAAAAATTATTAGTAACAAGAATTTTGTCAATCTTAAGTTTAAAAAGTGACTGAAAGTATTAATTAGTAAATTTTAACAATGTTTATCACAATTGTATATTAATTTAATCCGTTTTCTAGATAGTATAAAAAAAAAATTCCCAAAATAGATATCGTGCAAAATGGAAAATATAAAAAATTATATATCTGGCGAGCGTTAATATTTAATGCCTGACTAATACTTTCAATTCTTCCTTAAATATGAGAACTACAAAAAGAAACTGAGCTATAAACAAAATGAAACTGATTTCACGCTCTAAACGTGAAATAAGCCAAACCTATAGAGACACTAATTATGAAACTTATACTAACCCATTAAATATGGTTTATTAGTATATTTTATTGATTTATTCTCTTTGGTAGTTGGTTTAAAAAGAAAAAGAATTATTGGTAAAAAATAAAAAAAAATTCAAAATTAACATCCTGCCAGAACGGAGAATATAGAAGTTCTAAATATCTGGTTTGCGTTAATATTTAATACCTTATTATTAATTCCTTACTTTATCCTTCATTACACTAGCGGTCCGAAGATGCTGCATTTCTCCCGTTACATTAATACAAAAGGTATGATTCTTGGGAAGATTTTTTTATCATAACAATGATGGGAAAATAGAAAACGCATATAATTCTCAGATAACTGAAATGCCAAGGTTACAATCAAAGTTGTTAAAGTAGCGGCTACTTGTAGCACGCTATCTTTTTTGGTGGCGATAGCTAATAACGCGCTATTTTTTTCCAATTATTAATTTTTTTAGCGCGCACCTATTTTTGAAAGTAACTAAGTAGCACGCTACTTGGCTACTTTTTAAAAATATAATGAATATAACTATAAACATGAAAATTTAAATATAATATCATAAATAATTATTATTTTTATGATTTATTACTTAATTTTGAAATTGAAATTTATATTTTCAATTTGATTTATATACCTAATCATCTCATCTGGTGTAAATTATTTAAAATGTTATTGAAAATGATTATAATATTAATGAAGAGGAAGGTACCCTAGAAGAAAATGTTCTTGATGACATCCATTTATATTTTCAAATTAATCTAAAAATAAAAGGTGGTTACAAATTTATATGTTTAAAATGTAAAAAAAAATATATCCTCAAATAAATCTAGTAGCTATAACTTCAAAAAGCATCAGGGTAATTGTCATTTTTAAATTATATTAGTATTTATTTTATAAGAATGTTCATGCCAACAGTTTTAAAGAGATAGAAAAACATCGTAATAATTTTAGTAAAGAAGAGACTACATCCAAAAAGACCAATTCAATTCAAGCTAAATTGATTAATAATATTGCACATGCCAATATTTCTCTGATTCTAGCTGATAAAGTCATTGCCAATATTATAATTAATACAGCTTAGTCAATGTCGATGGTTGATAATCCATCATTTATCATGATGATTTAAGCTCTATCCCCTGGTACAACAATTCTATGTCACCAGACACTAATGTAAGATAGAAGATAACTTTGAAGTGATGAAAGATGCTCTAATAGCAGGGTTGTCAGAAATATCCTATATATGTACCACGGCAGATATTTGGACACATAACACAAGGTAAAAACTTATATATATTTAATCTGACATTAATATTTTTAGAGCTTATTTGGGAATCACCAACCATTGGCTAGACTTTAAAAAAAGATCTGTAGCATTAGCCCTTAAAAGGATAATAGGATGCCAGACATACGATTTACTTAAAAATAAAATTTAGGATTCATGCCAATTTTTAACTAAACTGACCATATCAATTCAGATGATGCTAAAGATCAACATGATAGACTCATGGTAAAGCTGAATAGTCTCATATCAAACAAAGATGCCCTAGTTACAGCCACAAAAACGACTTTCACTGACAATTTTTTTTTAAAAATAGATACTTATATTGATATAATAGAAAATTAGACGCATTTTTAAATCCAAAAATACTCAAATGAGTATTTTTAATAATTTTTCTTGTATTAAAAATATGGATATAAAATTAAATACTACATTGCCCTCAAGTACTATGAGAAATTATTTAGTTAGGCGAAACTTATACTTTCTGATCGTATCTGGATTTGGGAATGATAGTATAGAAATAATTTTATTAAAAATGAAAACAAAATAAATAAAAAATGAATATTACCATAAATAGTTATTTTTATTACATAAATTATAGTCTTTTAACATAAATTTTTTTATAATCAAAACTAACGATATTTAAATATTTATAAATGTTAATTTTTATGTATTATATACTAGTTACTTTTAAAATATCTACTTTTTTTTGATGGGTAGCGCGCTACTTTTAAAAGTAGGGTTTAACAACTCTGGTTACAACGAGAAGCAGTTATGCTTGCGATTTTTATTATGATTTAGATACAACCATATTAAGATTTTGAAGTTCAGGCGCGTACGCAGCGGGAGGGGGGAGCGAGGGGGAGGGGGACAAATCCCCCCCTAGCCAAAGCCAAAAAATGCAGATGCCGGATTATATTATTCAAAAATATTATTGTTAATATTAATTAATTTGTTAATAATTATTCCTATCTCATATATATATTTAATTACATTTATTTATCACATTCATCTACTAAGTTATTTTATCAATTAATTTTGATTTCAAGTTTTCCTTAGCGTAATTTACCTATTATTTTCAAATTTTAGTGGCGTATTATTTATCTAAATTTCTAGTCAAATAATAATTATCTCCGAAACTCCTTGTCTAACAGGGAGAAAGAAATTGCAAGCTTGCCCAACGAGATCGAGTCTCCGCCATCAAGCAGTAACAGCTTCTATGGAGGAGTTAGAAGAGCCGATTATTAATGCTATTACTGAAATATATTTCTTCAGAAGCAAGAAAATTATTGGATTCAATACTTATTCCAAATTTTTTTTCTCATTAGAATGTATTATTTAATTATACAACTATTTTATGTAATCTTTTCAAAAACATGACATTGACTTGATTAAGAAGATGAGAATAGCGGAAAGCATTTTATTAGAACTCAAGGAAATTAGAGCTAATGTTGATGAAGAATTTCATATTTTATATGTTATTGTTGAGTCAAAAGCAGAGCTATACGTGTTTAATATTTTCCCCCCTCGACTTGCAGCAATCAAGCTCATCGTCAAAACATTAATATAGGATCAGTAGAATAGTATTATAAAACAAATGTCCCCTCTCTTAGATACATATATAACCCAAATAAATGAATGGTTTTTAATTCATCATGCAGCACTTACAAATCCGCAGATATTACTTCCACAAAAGCCTTTCCAACCTTTTTCAGATGGTGATAGAAAAAAAAATAATTAGCTGAATAACTATGATTAAAAGATTAACTAGAGAACATTCTCTTTTTTAAGAAGAATAACAGAGCCCTGCAGAGGTACCATTTGCAGGGCACGACCCAGATTTTTTTAAAAAATTTTCAGGCCCACCCCAGGTGTTTTTTTAAAAAAAATATCGGGCCCAGCCCGGGTATGTTTAAAAAAATTAAAATACGGTCCGAATCGAGGGCCGGGCCTGCAAATCTCTGAAAATATACCTATAAAATAAAACTTCTGAAAGTAGCTTGAATGATTTGGATCTTTTGAATATTCACAGGCATTTAACGCCAAGCAAGGATAGACAATTGAAAAATTAGCTCATAACATACAAAATACAATTATTCCTAAGAAACTTTTTGTGTATTAATTTATATTTCCAACATTTTAATTTTTTATACTTTATATATTTTTAAAGGATCAAAAAATTCAAATTTCAATTTTGGGTCATTTAAGTGATTCATATCGTGTTCACTTTATATTTTATAATTCACATTTATTTTATAGTTTTTCAATGCGGGTTTATATATATAATTTTTTTGTAATTCACATCAATTTAAAATTGTGTATTAGAAAAGTTATTAGGCCTAATAAATTTATGCTTAATATTTTTAAATAACAATAATATTTCTTAAAAAATTTTATTATCCCCCCCTCCCCCAGACCAAATTTCTGCGTACGCGCCTGTTGAAGTTAATTACCAGAATCATTTATAATATTATCAAATCTGACTAAGTAAATGTTCATGTTGATTTATTCTAATATTTTATTATAAAATTGGTAAGTACAAACATGAATTTACTAATTATGGTAAACATTTATATAATAAAATTTGATTATCACTAATAATAAATAATTATATAGACAATACAATTGAAATGCTACTATATAAGTGCTAGATAATGATAATTAAAAATATAAAAATAAGACAATAATCTCTTTGAATATGTTGATTTATTAAATTTATAGAATTTTACGCTAAACTTTTAAATCAATAAATCAAATGTTTTTTTAAAATCAATTTATTGAAAATAAAAACTGGAGAATTTATGTAGAAATCAGATCATAGCAATATTTTTAACATTTTAACGCGTGCAAACGACGCATGGAATTTCATACCCGCTAGGATATTTATGACAAGGTAGATTACCGCATTCACTCTCGACTATGTAAATAGCTGCCCCGCCAAAATCGTCCTGGTTATTGGTTTCCCCTTCTGGGTCGGAATCAACGCAAACATAACTCGTGCGAGTGTGCCTAATATTGGCGGACATGAGGAACCCGTCATACTCTTTGACAAAATTGTCCGGACACTTGGAATCCCCAGGCATCATTAGCAAGGCATTTCTACGGGCGTGACACACTGCGCAAGTGACTGTTAAGCCGTCTAAAGACGAACCCGATCTCACTGGACTACCATAGCCTAGTTTGAAGACGGCACCAAATATTTTGGACTTAGAATCAAAGGCATCAGTATAAGACAAAAATTCAGGGCTTGTTGGTAAGCATTGGTAATCACCTCCACTTCCAGTATAAAAGTAATGACCTGTGCCGACGTGACCTGTTTGTTTAAATACGATTTATAAATAATAATCTCGTTCGATTATAATATCTTGTTTTATCCTAAGTTTATAAAAGGCTTAAAAAGTAAATAATCTATTTTTAATACCTTATACTTAAGTTTATTATTTAATTTCAATTTATCGATTAGTAACACTTAAGTTCTACTAATTATAGATATAATATTATCTAGTATAATAGTTAAAATCAAAATATTAAAAAATACATAATAATTTATTTAATTAGAAATATTTTTAAGCTATATACATAATAAAAGAATTCCATATAAAATAAAATTATTATATAAAGAGACAAGGCAGTCATGACAAGACCTACCCTGGGAAACTGGGTTCTATGACGGAATGGTTTTATTTTTTGATAGACAGCCAATTAAAAAAATTTAATTTTTAAAAAAAATATTCTAGAAATATATTATTTTAATATACTGTAACAATTATAGTATTCTAATAGTTATCTTAAACCTTTCACGGTTCTTTAATCTGTGCGCCATTAAAATGAATGCAGTTATTTAAGGTTTGAGGCATTAAAAGAAAAACATGTTTTAATGTAAATTATTTGCAGTGTGTGAATCATCTAAATATACAATCTGCTTAATTTATATATATTATCTTCATATGTATGCATTTTCCTATTATTTTAATTATTTTATTTTATATTAGATATGTTAATTTTAATATAATTTTATTTGATAGTAAAAAAAAAATGTATCAAATAAGGAAATTATATAGCCTAATGTTAATTTATTATTTTCTTTTCATTCTTTTAAAATTCCCTCTCCGATTTATACCTAAAAAATGAGGAATCAAATCGAATATTTGCATTTTTATGTATTCATATAACTACGAATAAATTACTTTTATATTCTATGAGATAACATTATTTGATTCGAAAATTAAATACAAATATTTTCAAATGTGAAAAAATGTATTATTAAAATTTAAAAAAAACGATTTTATGTGAAAATAAGATTAAAAAAATTCCTAAAGGAACATGTAGCTTCATCTACGAATAATTCTGAATTTGTAAATAATTTTGAATATGTTTATAAAATTTAAATATTTACGAATAATTTCAAACATTTAAATATAATTTCCAATATTTATGAATAATTCGAATAGCTTAAAATTATAGGAATAAAATTATTTGATAGATAATATATTTTCATTTTTCTTATTCAAATTTTCGAAGTGAATATATTATTATTCGTATTTGTAATAATCTAATAATTAATTTGAACATAGCAGAAATATTTTTGTAGAAGTTTAACATGTACATTAATATTATTAATTCAATATATAGCATATCTTAGTCAGCTTAGATTATATTTAAAACTTTTTTCAAATACCTTTATCGATTAAAGGTTACTATTAGAAGTGAATAAAATGTAGCAAATCATATTTTCTAAATATAATATGTATATCTACTTATATGCGCCATCTATAAGCACCTTATATATAATAGTATTTATTCAAGTTTTTATTTCTGTTATTTTTTAAGAGAATTTATTATATTTATTATAGAGATTAGCGAGTAAAAAAGAAAATAAATTTAACTTAAATTAATAATAAATAAAATCAAAAAATAAATTTACTAAGGAGGGTAATTTTATTTTAAAGGGATTAATTATGTTAAAGGGGTACAAAGGCATGCTTATTTTAAATTTGATTTTAAATTTTTTCATGTCCTAATTTATCTTGATAATTTTTTCCCACTCTAGTACTCAGGGACAACTATAATTACCCTCGATTTTTATATCGCAGGTGTTTTATGGATTTCACCCTTATTTATTTTCAACCTTGCCATCTAACCTATATTTTATTTCTTTTAAATTGTTTATTTGATTCCAAATTAATCATCACATTTTCATATATATTGTTATTTTCCGAGAGCTCTCTTTAATTTGACCTTATCTTTCTACTTTCAACAAAATACGGGATATACTGTGTATGTATAAATAATTAAATTTCACTAGCAATTCGCCCATCAAAGATAATGAGCGAATTAGAAAATTATCCTTTATTTGATGAGTGTTTATTCAGAAATTTTTGATTAATTTGATAAAATAGATTAGCGAAGTATATATTTAGTAGCTTCTTATAAACAAATATTTGTAACATGCAGTCAAGCCGTTCTGATTTGGGCTCTTGATAATCGGGTATGTCTCTCAAATTCCTATTAACTACTATTAGAAAATGCTTTGATAAACTGGGCAACATCTACTTTGAAAATTGACAGATTTTTAATTTTTTGTCCATTTGCGTACCTCTAAGTAGACTTTTGTTGTTTTTGCATTTATTCATTAATTTATATTATAAAATTTATCATCTTTCTAAAACTATTTATATCAAATGGCAAAATTAATAAAGATATGACGAGTTATCGAAAAATTTAGATTTCCTAAATTTTAAAATCATCACACTCAAAAAGAAAAGTTTTAATATTTCTGAAAGAACTGTTCATAATATTCATAAATCCAAAGAAGACATCATCAAACGCCATGCAAATAAAACATATTTTACCAAAAAAGATAACATCTTATCTTATTTTATAAAAAATTTTTATTCTTATTTTGTACAAATTTATTTGTATAAATTTTGTTTTTTCCGACAAATGTGTTATTTTTCAACTTTAAAATCATTTTCTAAGCACGGTTTTTTAAATTTAAAAATCTGAATCAGATTTTACCAAAATTAATTCCATCATGTTTAAAATTCCTACCTTTTGAATTTCGGACAATTTTGCCATAAACGTTTGAACTTAATATAATTTGTATTAGTTTTTCCATACATTTTTTATATAAATTTATCAATGGTTCGGCAAAACGGTCTAAAATTCATAAGATAGGTATTTCAAACATTATGGAATACATTTCCGGTAAAAACAGATTTTTATATTTAAAAATACGTGCTCGAAAAATGATTTAAAGTTGAAAAAATAACACATGGCTGGAAAAAACACATTGACGCTATATATACAAAATTTTACTTATGATTTAATTAATTTAAAAAAAATATTTTAAAATGATTGCATATAATCTCACTTTTTGCTAAACTAAGAATAACAGATGGATAAATGTTTTTTTATAAAAAGTAAAAAGTCTTGAGCAAAAATTTTGGTTCCAACGGTTAGAAATATGCAAAGTGAATTTTTCACAATCCAAGCCGACTCGAGCCCGATTTAAAAAAATTTCAATATAAATAATGAGGAGTCGAATTTTTCAGGTTTTAAATAAGTCCTCCAATCTTCAAAGGCCCTACTAGCCCCCTGAAAGCGATCTTTTACTGCTGAGGTAGCAGGGATAGCTGAGAACTTAAGAGCCAAAAAACTTAAATTGGGAAAGTCTAATTAACCTGATAGTGATGTAAATAAAGTATGTAATACACATAAATATAATAAAAATAGTTTGGTAAACTGATTTTGTGTAAAAAAATAATATATGTAAAATAATAATTGAAAATGGCATGTTAATGTTATTCATATTGACATCATATATTAAAAATATTTATATAAATTTATCGGGTCAGGTTGGGTTTCGGGTCGGCACATCCCAACCCGGAGCCCAGCCCGAACACAAAAAATCATATGTGTCCGAACTTGACCCGAAGGTTGGGTCCGGCTACTGACAGCCTCTGGAGACCTCTACAAACGGTGCTCAAATTAGACAGGTTTAAATGTATTTTAAAATCTAAATATACTTATTTTAAGTTAATGTATCATAAATATATCAAAAAATTGCTTTATATGCACAATAAAAAATCTTTACGATTATATTTTATACATTTGTATTAGTAATTTATAATCTAAAAAAAATCAATTTTGCTAAGTAGGTTATAGAACAATAATAAATAAGAGATATGCAAAACTCGCACTTAGTAAGAATAAATTTTTTAAATAATAAACTATTAATTAATACAAATGAATAAAAGTGTAGTTGCAAATTTATTTATTGCTCATTTAGGCAAATTTTGAGATAAAATTTTATGAAACAATAACTTAAAATTAGTATAGATTTACAAATTTGTTCCAAATATTTGTTCACATTAAAGGTACTAAATATATACTTAATTAATATATTTTAGAGAATAATTTAAACCCTAGTTATATGCAAAATTTGAGAAAGAAAATTTTAGGCCAATTTTTGTTGAAACAAATTTGGCATCAGAAGAGGAGCACCCCTTTCCAATAACATATTAATTCCTTAGGGGTGATGGATCAGTCAGAAGTATCTATTTAATCTTACAGTGAGGTTATGCATCTAATATAAGATTCATTTCAGTAAAAAAAAAGTTGATCTGACTTGCCTTATACCAGCAAAACAAAGGTATAACTAGCTTTAGCATGTTGCCTTTCTAATAAAATCAAAAACATTATATTTATCTCACCCCAATAAGTGGTATAATAGCATACTAAATTTAATAAGCTTTGTTCGAAGAACAATGAAATCTGATTTCTCACTGTCACATTATAGTCATGATAAAATCTATTAAGGAAAATTTTACATCCGAAGTGATTCTATATTAAAAATATTTTCAGAACAAGGCCAATTTTATTGAAAAAAGGATTAAAATTACAAAAAAAAAATTGGTGATGAGGCGGATGATAATAAATCTTGTCAGATTTGGAAATTATTTTATATTAACGTATAGAACTATATTACTATTGTATATGTGATATAGATATTAACTCAATGAATAACTATTCATCAATTATCAAACCGATTTTGAATTCCTATTTAACATTCCTTTAATATTGCAAAGCCCTCTAAACTATAAAGATATAAACAATATGTTACTATCTGAAGAAGTTTAATTTAGCTCTCTTCTGAAGAAGTTAATTTAGCCCCTTTTATATTTTTTAACGACAATGCTCGCTCACCAAATCGAATTTACTTTTCTGAATATATATATTGTGTTGCCATACGATTTTTGCTAATGCTATGAAATATCTTTATACTTTATAGGATATTAAAACTTGATAGACTTATTGTGCTAAATAATTTAAGATAGACTGAATAATTTATCTATCCTACCAATATTTTATCATAAGAATCAATTTTATATCATTTGTTATATGAGGGGGGGGGGGAAATGATATTATTCCCGCTAGAGGAGAAAGAGTAGGCCACCTCTAAGATACAAATATTTTTAATTTAAAAAAATGTTTAATACCATTGTATAATAATTCAGCAGTATGAGGACACCCCCTTCTACCGTATCGTATATAAGTAATAGCGCCATCTCCTTTTGGTAGAACAGTAGAGCCGCAGTCACATTTGTCGTTCTTTCCAGAATTTCCCGCCTTACCAACTTTTCCAGGCTTACCATCATTTCCAGGAATGCCCCTTCTGCCTGGGTTGCCAGATATACCTGTGATCCCCTTTTCACCTGGTCTACCATCGTTGCCTGGATTACCATCGTCCCCCTTAAGCATTGTTTCAACAAGTAAGATTCATAATGGAAGAGGATATAAGTTTTCATAATATAATTTTGCTTGATACAGTTTAATCAAAAAATTTATTTTTTATTGTTTGCTGAAAAAATTGAGAGATAATAAATGAATTTATTTATTACAGGGGCTCCAGGAAGTCCTCTTGTTCCAGGTATTCCGTCTTTCCCTGGGTACCCATCTTTACCATGAAAACCTCTAGGGCCTTCATGTCCCCTTGCTCCTTGTTCGCCCACTGGGCCTACTTCACCCTTCCTACCAGGACCACCAGGTCTTCCATCATTACCCCTATCTCCGGATAGACCCTGATATTCATATATTAAATTACTTTCATAATTTGTTATTTACAATAGTGAATCATGTGAATTATAAAAGTCTAAAAAATTATCATATGTATTCGTATGTGTACTATAGCTATGTAGCTGGTTAATTTTTTAATTAAATCGTTTCAGGTAATTGATAATTTAATAATTTTAACCGGTTCTCCTGCCAACCCATTATCCCCATCTCTTCCAGGTAAACCATCCTTTCCAGATTTTCCATCATTACCAGGTTCACCTGGTGCTCCATCTACACCATCTTTACCCGGAGATCCGGGTATGCCACTTATTCCTGGTCCAGTAATTGATAAACCTGGTTTGCCAGATTCTCCATCCCGTCCTGGCTCTCCGTCAATCCCATTTTTACCCTGAATACCTATTATTTATCAAATGAAATTGCATATTACAATTACGCTATTCTCAAAGAAAGACTTTTATATTTATTTTATAACTTTTTGTAAATTTTTTTAAACAATCCAAATATTTATTATTTTTGATCATTTAAATGTGAAATTTATTCAATCTGACAGGAGAATTCATGGGACTCAATTCCAGCTTATGGTTGAATTTTGGTTTCAGGAAGATTAAATTTCTTTAAAATAGAAGTAAATTAAAATTTTGTGAGATTTATCCAGATAAAAAGCATTTTTAATTGCAAAAAATAATTCACCATTATTAAAAGGTTAGAATATTAAAGAATTTTCTACTTATTAAATTTTCCTTAGATCTAATTTGTAAGGAAAAATATAGCGGTTAGTTACAAATTTATTCAGATTTCACAATGTATGTAATTTAAATGGCAATTAAGGACCATCTTTTCCATCCAATCCATCATCGCCTCTGAGCCCTGGTGAGCCGTCAGAGCCTGATTCTCCATCTCTACCAGGGTTTCCATCAGGACCGGGGATCCCATCTCTGCCAGGTGTTGCATCTATTCCATCTCTACTCTTACCTGGAATTCCTGGTTCACCCTTTGTTGTAATTATTTTGTCGAAATAAATTATAATTTTAAGTGACAGATTTTTTAAAATATAATTAGTATTTTTATATGTTATTACCTTATTTGCACACAGGTTAAAATAAATTGAGATTTTCCTAGTTTTAAGTAGTTTATAAGTTATTAGTTAATTTTCCCATATTTAAGTTGTTAAGATTTTTTAAAAAAGAAATATTTATTTTTTTTACTGGAATGCCATCATCGCCAGGTATGCCGTCTTTTCCTGGTTCTCCTTCTTTCCCTGGTAAGCCATCATTCCCTGGAGATCCATTGGGTCCCTGTTTTCCGTCGTGACCTTGATTGCCAGGAGGTCCCTTATTTAAAAATATTTGAAAAGTTCTAGAAAATATGAGTTAATTGAGTTCAATTCTAAACACAATGCATCAGCAGTTAGTGAATATTATTCTAATCTTATACTTTCATCAATGAAATTTATTGTTTTATAAATAAGGTATTGTATAACATTGATAAGTTACTTTGGGCCCTAACTTCCCGGGAATACCATCTTTCCCAGGTATTCCATCGTTTCCTGGAGTTCCATCTTTACCTGGATTTCCAGCAGCTCCAGATTGCCCGTCTTTTCCAGAACTTCCTGTGGGACCCTAGTTTATTTATAAAATGTTGGGCTACATAATATATATTAGATATACATTCTTTATTCATTTATTAGGTTTATTAAGAAATCGCTTTGAACCAAAAATTTTCGCTCAAGTTTGAAAATACAGTCATGTCAAATACTCAAATTAGACAATTTGCATTGGATATAATTTTACCAATATAAAAAAACATTTGTTATAGATTTATTTTGTAAAACTTTTATGCCTGGTCCTCCAGCACTTCCCGGTTTACCATCAATCCCGTTAATCCCAGGCTTTCCATCATTACCTTTTCGACCTGGCGTTCCAGGGGTGCCAGGAATTCCTGATTTTCCCTCCAGACCCTTTAGTATGAAATATTATTTTGATGCAAAAAAAGGATTAAAATAATTTCTATTTTGGAGATAAATATTATATGCTACTATAAATTTTTAAATTTTATGACCATTTTTTTGTCGCGTTAATCTTTAAAAAATTTTAAAATAAATATGATGTATCATAACATTATAAAAACAATATATAAAAAATAATAATATCTACTTTCAAAACAAATAATATTCAAAAATATAATAATATAAAAATCTTATCATAGACGGTTAAAATATTAACTATTTTTTAGTTGGGTTTCCAAAAAGAGCCATAGTTATATTTGAACATATCAATTTGCATTGACGTAAAAAGAGAAATCCTCTTGATTCATTAGTAAATTTTTTAGCATTATTTTAAATATTTGTTTTCCTTGTTTCGGATGTTAGTAAAGGATTCGAATTTTTATCTGATGGGAAAGATGAGACACAAATGAAGTCCAAAATAAAAGAATTTGCCTGACTCCCAAGAGATTGTAGACAATCCATGTGGTCTCAGACTATCCTCTGATGATAGATTAGTAGGTTCGAAAATGTTTAGGATGTGAACAGCTTTTAGGATTCAACTTATTATTAGATTGATTGAAGTATGACATAGCGGCCTTGACTATATTAACAATTAAGTCCTTGCATTCCCTTAGAGATGATCAAAGTGTTGTAATCAGTACAATTGTGTGGGTTGACAATGCCACATCCTAATTGTGTAAACCTATGGCTACTCTCAATTGCTCATCTGATAAGAGATTACCAAGGTTTGAAATTGGAAAGGCCTCCAACCATTCCCCCTAGTCTGTCGTCGAACTGAAACAATTGTATCAAATCTAATGGGGGATTGGATAGTATGTCGGCAAGAAAGTTATCTATAAGGGGTTGGAAATTTATTTATGGTTAATAACTGATGGATAAAGGGTGTCTACCGAAATACTTTCGGGCCATGTATTAACTAATAAAAGGTTGGTTAGTGAAATGAAACTAGATATCATGAAGCTGTTCATCAATCTAGAGGCAATAAAAGAAAATAATGATATAAGATGGAGTGAAAGAAGATCTAGCCCGCCAGATCTTGCAGGTACTTGGGAAAGAGTCCAGTTAAAATCTGTTGATTAAATATTTATTCAAAAAATTTTAAATTTGACTGCAATTTATCAGTAAAATAGTGTTTTTTTAAAAAGAGGAGCACCTAGTGATGGCTATAAGAATATTAAAAGATAACCCAATCTAAGTTAAATTTGTGTTTTACTTAGAAACTAGATTATGGATGCTAAATAAAAAAGAAGAGGAAGGATATTATATAAAATGAGATTAATAACATTGATTTTGATTCTTATTCACTTATTCAAAATAATAAATAAATATAAATTCTTAATAAAAAAACCCTAGATTGAAACCGACTCTATATCTAAATACATTGTCAGTAAGTCGGATATTTAAACTTATTTAGAAATAATTTAGAAATAATTTAGAAAAATTGGCAAAAAAATATGTACTGAAATACACCATTTACGATCAAATAAAATTAAAAGATTGAGAAATAATATATATTTTTAAAATATAGATGAACATTACCGGAGTAGTTATGGATTGACCTGGTAAACCATCTTTTCCAGGATCTCCTGAGTTACCCGGAGATCCGGGTTGTCCAGATTTTCCATCAACTCCTGGTTTCCCATCTGACCCTTGTTCTCCAGTAGGGCCCTTTAATTTTAAGATTAGATATAATAAAGGTATATATAAATAAATACTGAATTAATTATTTTTTTCATTGCAATCTGAACTATAAATAAACTTATCTTTAATTGTTTACCTTTAAAATATTTCTTTGTTATTTAATTTTTCATATATTAAAATCTAAACCAGATATTACCTGCCCTCCATCTGGTCCTGGTCTTCCCGGATTTCCATCCCCTCCTGGTTTACCAGAATTTCCCGGTTTACCATCTGTGCCTTTACGTCCTGGAATTCCATCTTTGCCCGCTGGGCCTATAGGGCCTGGTTCTCCATCTTTGCATTCTTTGCATGCCGCTAAATTTATATAAGATGAACGTATTATTGCATGCAATATTACATAAATCTCTAATATTAAAAATAAAATTAGAAATTATAACTAGTTATATATTGTACTGGGTGTTTAATGGGTACCAAGAATTAAAAAGTGGAAATTTATTTTAGAAAAGTATTACATTTTATGTCTTCTTTATTAATTTAAGTACAAGTAAACGTAGAATAAGATTATCTTATACCAGGAGCTCTATACGAAAAGGGGGCTTTCGGTCTATTCCAAACACTTCGTTTCTTTCTTGTAATGACTGGTGTTTCAGATTCTGCTAGTTCCCCTACATCTTTCTACATTGACAAACAAAAAAATTATAGAAATAACTCCCTAAGTTATAAATTTTTTTTTAAAATAAACTCGTAATTCGGAAATTTTTGTATGTAAAAAATTGATGGTTTGTTGATTTTGGAAGAGTTTGTGCTTCAAATTGGTCAGCAAATTTTGGTGTTCAACTTTGATTTCATCTATTTGATAATAAAAAATTGGTAGTATAATGCAGCATGCCAAAGTAACTATCAAAAAGCATATGAAAGAAACTGCCGTCAAGTTTTTCCCGTTGTTTTTTTCCCTTATTAAATTAGATCCTGATGGATACATCTTTGGATCTTCTTTGGCGTATAGCTGAATGTTTATTAATTTCTAAAAAGTTATTGTTTTTAAACAAGAAAATGAAAAATGAATGAAAAATATTTATATTTACTTTTATGAAAACGATATGACTTAAATAATCATCCACTCTAGGTATATTATGTAATATTGAATGTCTATCTAGAAAATGAAATTTGTACAAAAAAATTTAGGAAAAATAATTATTTATTTAAAACAATATACTATATATATTATAAAGTTTAAAGTGACCTAAATAAAAAAAATATATTTGTATTTTTAAAAAATACTTTCTCCAATAAAATATAATATCCTCTGACTTTCTTTTTTTTTGACCGAATATGGAACAATCCCCCTTAAGTGATGTATGTGAAATTTAAGCTAATTTCTGAATCTAATTAGCACACAAATTTATTAATTTTTTTTTATAAAAAGAATTTAGTCCAATTTTTTTAGGTCATTGTGTTAAAATTTTCAAAAATAACAAGTTTTCAAACTTTATATAAGAAGATTGATATTTATTATGTTTCTAAGTATATTATATATTTAAGATTAAATTTTAAAAAGTGATATTTTATAGTGATAATTAAAAGTACAAGCTATATTGAAAAAAATCATTTTATACCTCATCACTTTACACTTACTTTCAAGACCTACTTAAGAAATATATGTTGATTTAAAAGAGTTAAAAATTAGTATTTTAGTAAATGTGTTTTGATTCTTAAATATAAATATATAGGGAAGACTGGTTGGTTTTAGCTCGGGGCACGTATTGTCTTTCAAACTAATATACTTTGTGAAGATTTGAGGTTTCGCATAAAGCAATCTATATAAATTTTAGATGGAACTTTTAATTTTCATCAACCAAAAAATTATTTTTAAAATTTGTTAAAAATAATATATGTCCTTCCTTTATTATACTATAACATATTTTAGTTATATTCATTTAAATAAAGAAAGAATTGCACAGAAAAAAATAAAATATTACAATAGATTTACTAAAATTTGAAAATAAAAAATTATATATATTTCATCTCAGGCTACGTACAAATTTGATTATAGTAAATTACCAAATAATCAACCAAATTTGAATAGAATGATGTAGGTAAGTCTATTTTGTATAAATAAGAGCTAAAAGCTTTCAATAGCTATTTTTAAACATAAAAATTTGAAAATCTGTAATCAGGTTAGGACAGTTGTATTTTAATGCATCATGTATAAAAACAAAATTCAATTTTGGAGAAAGCTTTATATAAAAATGTTGTGGTAGTATATCCTGAAATTAAATTTTGAAAAATTGTTAAGACCTGCGGCAGGTTTTTCAGCTTAACATAACAAATAAAGACGCTGCTTCTGAAAACTTTCCCAGTCTTTATGAGACCCAGACATTAGATCCCAAAACCAAAAAAACTTCAGATCAGACTAAACGCCCGATGGGATTATTCAAATACCTGGAAGGGAGACCATTACTTGTATTGGGCTATTCTTGATCCTCTGGCCCTCTTCAACCAAGCCCTTAACATTCAACGGAGCAACAAAAAATTAATATATTGAGAAATTTTAGATGATAGCATTTTCATACAAACATACCTACCTACCATAGCACGTTGGTTAACTCGCCCTATCATTGTCATAATGGATCTCCTACCGAAAGATTCCCGTTCATTTTATAATTTTCCTTTTTATAGATAACACAAGGAAATTCTTCAATAAATAGATTTTATCTTTAACATATTTTGGTAACTATTATTTTATTTTGTCAATCAGTTTATTACAAACTTCTTCAAAAAATAGTTTTGATAAAAAATAACTCTGGAGAAAAATACTATCTTCACTGAGAATAGGTCACAAGTGAAACTTATTTGGCAAAAATATATTGTATAGGTGTTAGAACAAAAAAATGAAAATGGCAAATCTTTTATGATATTATATTATAATTAAAATTTTACAATCCCCTTTATTATTTTTTGTCTCAACCCAAAAAATACTTATAAAATAATAAAATAAATTCATATATTTTAAAATTGGCATATATAAGTCATTGTTTTTATTTTAATGATAAAACGATTTTTATAGAAAAATATTTTGGAACATTATCTCAATCAATATGAATGTTCTTGAATAAAAATAGCAATAGTCAAAGTAATATAATATTTTATCTACTAAAATAATAATATTAATAAGAATTAGCCTATCCAGTAAAAATTAAATTATAAAAAAACAAGCAGTCTCATTTTGGCAGATAAAATATTTAGAAAATTTTGGCAAATAATTATTAATTACTAAATCTAACTGAATTTAAAAAATTAATATGAGTCGAGAATATAAAAAATTATTTAAAATAATTTACTTGTAGTGAAAATGGTATAATCACAATCTTATAAAAAGATGTTTGATATGTGGTATTATATTGAAGAATATAATTGGTTTCGGTGAAATCAAAATTTCTTTTTATTATTTTTTAAATTTCTTTGTTACCTATATTAAATGTAGTTAGTATATAAAATTATCTTCGACCAAATTTCGATATTTACCATATCAAATATAAAATAAATGACATAAAACTTTTCGTGCTAGACAAATTTTTTTTTATAAATGCATCATTTGATTATAAAAAATGTTATATTTGTTTATGGAGGGGGGGGGTGTTGTTAAGAGCCTTTTTTTTATTATCATTAAATTGTCAAAATGAATATATTAAATCATTTTTAATATATATTAACTCTACCATATCTTGCCACCCTTCGAACCTTAATCCTAAACACTTTCCAAGGTTGGTTTCAGAAAATATGATTGATTAAAATTGGGATTCTAACCAATGACCTTAGCTACCAATCCACTTAAAACGACTGCAATTTATTTTATACATTACCGGTAATGTGCGTAATAAGGCCATACTTTTAGGCAATCCGTGTAGTTTCAGTGTAACTTTAAGATATAACCTATAAATATCGCAAAAGTTCATGATAAAATTGTCTGAAAATTACAAGATAGGTATTTTGCAAATAAGAGAATACATTTCAGCAAAATCAGGTCTTCATCAAAATGAGCTCAAAAAAATATTTTCCAATTTTCCAACTTTAACTCATTTATAGTGCGTACAAATTGTGCGTTGCAACGCTGCGTTTCAAAACGCAAGCAATGCATTTTAAATGCATTCGTTCAAATTGAACACATTTCCGTTTTTCATTTAAATTATTTTTTTCAAAACGTAAACCTGCTTGCGTTTTCAAATTTTTTTGAAGTGGAGAAATGAAAACACCATCAAAAATGTAAGAATATATATAATTAAATTATCATTTATTAATTATTTTAGATCATGGAATGAAGAAATAACAAAAAGATTTAAATGTTGGAACCTGAAGAGGTTATTTGGAATCAGGCGCATCCTGATCATAAGAAGACATTCTCTGTGATGGAAAAGCTTTCCATCATAGGAATTAAGTTAAATAATACTCAGCATCGATTTGTTTGTTACAGTTAGTAACTTTTGGATTAATATCCTCATATATGAGCTCCAGTATATAAGAAAATGTCGCTCTTCTCATTCTTGTATAATTATAAAATTGCGAATTTGTTAAATCGCCTTTAATATTAATATATTCCGAAAAAAGATTTCTTTTAACAAATATTTTGGACGTCTTGCTCTTCTTCCTTCCTTTATTTCTTTGTAGTAAATACAAAGCAAGTAATTTTTTTTGTTTTAAATTTAAATGTTTCATATTGAAAAAATAAAAGTTAACGCATCAATTTATACATGGCTTCGTTTACGTTTTTTTATATGCGTTTTAAAACGCTGCGTTGCAACGCACAATTTGTACGCACTATTACTTATATTTTTTAAATTTAAAAAAATTGATTTTTTGGCTGGAAATATATTCCAGCATGTGGAAAATACCCACTCTATAAATTTCATCAATTTTATAAGATATTTCACATATTGCCTGATTATTCACATTGCCGGAAACATAAATAGCAATTTTTTTACAAATTATTAAGAAAATCTGATAACGAATAAAAATAAAATTTTAATATTCATATTTAATTTTTGAAATTCCCCCATCCCATATATACTAATTCCAATCGGGGGAGATAGGGGCTATATGGCAGGTGTTTATCTCCTTTACGATAAAATTTTATTTTATTAAATTAATTGCATTAGTGGATAGCCTCTTAATTAGAGTACAAAATATAAAAAAATGTCGGTTCTTCCTTTTATATTAGTAAAGGTAGGCTTTTTACTATTTACTAACGAACCCTGGGTAAGATGGCAAGCCCCTTGAAATTAGATGGCAAATATCTAATTTAACCACCAATTTATTTACTTTTTTTGTTATATTTAATATAAATTTTAATAATTACAAAGATACACTTAAAACAGATGATTCCTGGCACAAATAAATGCCTATTCGGGCTAAGTGCATCATATCAAATCTTGGCGCTACTAAATTACAATATTACTTCCCTTCAAATTTTACCAAATAATTTTATTTTTTCTACACCATAAATATTATTAGTAAATAAACGAAATTTAAACTAGAGGTCTGTAATGGGCGGATTTTAATCACCACCAGTTGTTGATCTCTTATCTAATACATCAAAATTGGCTTAAACAACCATACCATACCTCTACCCTCATTTTGCTTCTATTTCTTCCTACCTCACTCCTACTCCTATTATATTTTAATGAAGATCTTGAGTCATCCCCCCCCCCCCCATCCCTCCACTTGTTAGGTAGAAGTATCTGCTATCATGATTAGAATAGATAGTGAGTAGACTATAGGCACATTACGATTCCGAGACTTACATCATCATGTTTGGTAATGTCGTCATCTAAAAATGGTTTCATAAAATATCAATGTTTAGTGGATAGATTCAACAGAAGAAAACCCGCTTAAAATATTATATGAGATGTTACTGAAAAATTCTTTCTTTACAAATTTGTCATTTTACCCCTTGCCGTATAGCCCTTGGGGTGGTGATAACTTAAATCGCTCTAGTTCTAGGTACTCAATATTCCGGACTAAATTTATTCGGTAGCCTAGATATGGAGCTATATATCCTATAAATTTGATAAAATCCGAGGGAGTACTTTTTTATCAAAATAAATAATACCCAATATAAACGTTGGTAAAAAGGGATAAAATCTATTTTTTTTCAATATCTATTTAAGGCTGATTTGCCACCTAAATGAACATACAATAGATTGTATATATAAAAATGTTTGACCAAATCAAAACACTTGCCTCTAAAGTGAAAAAATTATAGATGCTTGCCTTTTTACCCCACCCCTACTTAAAATTAAAATGGAAATAACTTTGTTCATTTGTGAAACAACTAATTTTTAGATTAAGTTCCTAATTTAAATATAGAAACATCATTATCAGTCATATTTCATATACTATGGGGTAAGAAACCTTCTCCAGGCCCGTAAATTTTGGGATGATAAAAAAAACACTTTAGTAAAAGAAATGCTTTTTTAAATTTGGATTTTAAATTCATAAAACATTAATATGTTGGATCTGCCCGAAATATGGTGTTTGCAAATATTGTGGGTACGCCATACGGCATTATTTTAAATAAAAAGGATAAAACTAAATTTTATTAAATTAGCTATTATATAATGTCGCAACGAATTTTTTAAAACAGCATGCTAAATATTGACTTTTACATTAAAAATCGTATTTAAATAGGGCAGTTGCCTCTTTCGAAAATTGATCTTATTTTTTTTTTAATTCTAAAATATTTGGGCCAAAGGATGTGTGTAATTATTATTATTTATTTGTAAATTATATCATAAATTGCCATCCACCATCCCTTCTTTTCTAATTCAAACATTCTAGTTAAGCTATTACAAAGATTCTGTCAAGGATTGAATTTAACCCCTCCCTCTCAACTACGATAAATTCTCTTTTAATTATTTTATTGGCTTTTAATATATTATAATACTTAAAAGATTTTTTAAAATGATCTACATTTTGAAATAAATGTAGTTGAAGTTTTATTATTTTTAAGTGAAGTTCAAAATTTTAAGAGTGGTATATACTAAATTGGTCTTTCTCTTTGTAAGGTATTTTACCTATTTTTGACATAAGATGAGAGAAAATTAAAATATTTGAATGACACACATTCTACGTTTCATTTTTTGATAGGATATATTATTAAATTTTTTAAGACATTTCTTTGTAAAGTTATATTCAGCCTTCTAATTTTAATTTTATATTAAATAAAATTACATTTTGTGAGATATGCTTAAATTTATTAATAGTATTTAATAATGACAAAATTACTTTAAAAAAATTATATATTATTTGTAGATATTTTAAAATTTTATGTAGAGCTCTCTCTTTATAAAGAGAATGGATTATATCGATAATAAAAATGATTCACCTAAATTTTTAATTAAGCAAGTAAAAATGTGTAGGAAGGGGCCATCCAAAACCCTGACGTTGATCTGCGTAACCTGTTTTATAATCTCGACTATAGCATGTTGTGTTTTCTTACCATTTTTTTATTATCAAATGGGACTTCTTAAAAACGATCATTATACACTAATCCAACATTTAAAAGCGAAACATCACGAAAGACAACAAGTTATAAATTTCCTCCACAATAAAATCCGGGAATTTCAGGTATTAAATATTTGTATTTTAGAATTTATAGTAGGGAGACAGGGATAGTTTTATCCCGGGACATGTATTTTCTATCAAATACTTTTATAACATATACCTTGATATTTGAAATTTAAACCACAAATGTATTTTAATAAGATGCTTCAATATTCTAAAAATGTTTTGCAGAAATATGCATATGAAAAGTTTTAAATGCGAATTTAAATTTTAACACGCCTGAAGTAACTTTTTAACTTTTTACCTTTTTAAGATTAATTTTTTTTTACAAATGTTACCTAGGTAAAATATCAATTCTAAATGATAAAGTAATATCAATTTTATCAAATATAAAAACAATGACAATATTTATGGTAAATTAATATATTAAATTAAATTTTAATTAAATGTGAAGACCTGGGGTTTAGTTAGTCATTTTTAAGCAGGGGTTTACTTTTAATAAAAAATCCACCTAAATATATAAGAGCACCAAAAGCCACAAGTTTGTCTAGGGGTATGGCAATATGAAAATGGTTGACTTGTTTTTTTTATAAGGTATATGACAGTTTTAAATGACAACAGATTCTTCCGGTTAACATATAATATGGTGATGATTCTGGTCCAATTCGCATATTTGGCAATGTATTTCCATTAATTTACTTAAGATTAACATTTTTATATGAAAAAATCTAAAAATAAAAAAGTGCTATAACACGCGGGAAAGGCTAAAAAGTACCCCAAGTGTTTTTCATTTAAAAAACTAAAAGACTTTTTTCTCAAATATTAATTTCTTCCGATAATAAAACTATGTTTAATTATTTTGGAATATTTATTCTATTTTTACAACAACTAAAATTTTAATGGATAATATAATCCAGCTCTTCTTTATACAAAATTATATTTTACAGGACTGGGATGTAACAAGTATAGTCGAAGGCTTCTTCTTGTATTTAAGATACTTGGAAAATATTTGCATTTTAATCCAAATTTCAAAAAAATACAAAAATCCTTTTTTTTATTATTTTGATATTAGTTTATTTATTGATTTTTAATATATAAATATAAAATATTGGCTTATGATTTTTTTGGGCAGTAAATTTATCAAAATAGGCAGTATTTTTATTATCAAATAAAAAATAATTTAAGCAGTATATATAAAATATTAAGCAGAATATTTATTTGAAAATTGTTTAGTATTAATACAAATATCTTTTTATTATAAGCTCTAAGAGTTGTTATGGTATCTAGATAAATACAAAAATGTTGTATGAGTATCTTGATACTCTTTTATAAAAAAATATCTGAATATGAATTTAGATACTATTATATGTATCTCTATCTATATTTTTATATAATTCTATTTTATGTTAGTTTATATTAAAATAATATTTATTTGAATTTAATTCATTTAACTATATGTCGAAGTGGATTTCATTATAAAAACACAGACAATTTTTATTTTATGCGATGGATACCGACAAGATGGTTAATTTTATATTATAATTTATTTATATTCATTTAAAAAATGTATATCATAATTTGTAGATCAATATTACTAGACAAATCTATATTGCGGTATCTCATATGGCTATCATGTAATACGTTGAATAATGTAGAAAAAATATATAATATGAATTACTTCTGGTTGGCCAAAAACAATTAAAGTTAATGATTAGATATAGAATTTGTGGGTTATACATTACTGACTAGCATTGAAATTATAAAATTATATTTCTCTAAATTTTTGAAATAAAATACCTTGAAATGTAAAATAATGTTCTTTGGCTTTAGCCAATAACAAGATACAATGTCAAACTAGTTGTTACTATCAGCATTAGGGGAGGCTGGGACTATCCAGCAGATGGGGCAATAAAGTATATGTCTATTTTTCATATTTAAGGCGAATTGTTTCAAATTTCGTCAGTATTTCTACATATACTATCTAGTTCATTTAATACGGGAGCTCAGTATTCGAAAGTTTTCAAGCAAAAACAATTTTTTGGCCCATTTTCACCATCTTTTATTATAATGTTTTTTCTTTGAGGAAAAGTAATTCTTCAAATTTTATAAAATTTATATGAGACATTCCACAATGTCTAACCTATTGATTATAAACTTGGTTGATTTTAAACCAGTAAAATTTTATAAAGTCATTTAAGTGAAATCACTACCCCTGGTGCTATGGCAGGGGGTTTGATGGCAAATAAAAGAAAAATAAATTACAGGAAAAAATTATTAAAATCTAAAAATGTTAATAAAATTTTTTTTTAAAGATTGGAATTGTGTAATGTCCGGCAAAAGTTATAATCATACTAATGAAGACAGATTAAAATGTACCAAACAAATATCACGAATGTGCAAATTTAAATTATGCTAGAAATACTCCATTTTATGAATGCTTAATTGTGTAGATTCATTTCTTAAAATATTTATCATTATATCTAAAAATTAAAAAAAATTTGTTTTGAGTGTTAAATTTTAAAATTGCTGTCTTACCCCAAGAGTCTTGCCATTTTACCCAGGGTCATCGGTAAATAGAACAAGCACAATTTCTACACACCTTAATGGCGCCAATATTTTAAGGTAGGATGCTCGGGTTTTTTATTTTGTAGTCAAATGATGAGGCTATCTAATGATATAAGTAGTTTTATCCTTTAAAATTAAGATTTCTCAAAAGCAAAACACCTATCGGACATCCTTTTCCTATTAAACTGAGCAAAATAACCCAAAAATTATGCAAAATTAGGCAAGAAGCATGCAAAATGATGAAGCAAAATTTTAGAAAAGCAACCAAAATATAATGCATAAAATCGTATAGCACACAAAATTTCACATATATTTTTTCTTTTAATTTTAGTTACATTTTTCAGTACTTTTTAATAATTTTTTTAAAATCTAAATTAATTTTGTTTATTCAATTTTTGAAGACCTTTTCCTATCTTTTTTTAAAACTTTAACTAAATTTTTCAATACCTTTTTATTTTAAGTATTATATCAATTTTTTAGATCATTTCTGAGAACTTTTTATTCGATTCTTCCCATTACTTTCTTTGATCTTTTTCAATTTTTTCTCATTTCAACTCGATTTTTGAGTGCTCTTTTTGATACTTTTTATTTTAACTAAACTTTTTAGCACTATTTTAAAAATTTTTTAAACATTTTAAATAAATATTTTTTTCAATTTTTATTCAAATGTTACTCAAAAATCGAGTTGAAATGAGAAAAAATCGAAAGGTCAAAATATGAGATAAAAGGATAGAAAATGGAACCCAAAAATTGAATAAAATTAAAGATTTAAATGTATAAAAACTTAATTAACATTTTAAAAAATCAAGAAGGTATTTGCGCCATTTTAGGGGGTTCCTGATACATCATTATACATACTTCTTGCGTCATTTTTCCCGGAATCCATGCTTTTCTAACGTTAATACATGAAAAAAAGTAAGGTGGGGGTTCGGATAAGTTTGCCCAATACGGGGAGGGGGTGAATAAAATTATATTGGAATGAGAAATATGGGGAGCAGGAATAAATTTTGGCAAGTTGCCTTCAAATTATTTTCTTTTATGTTAATTTAATTACCATTGATAATTATTTACAGTATTTCAATTTATATAGTTTATATTTTATAAGTAGAGTATTTGAATCCTTTGTCTATCTAAAGTTAATTTTCAAAAAAAGTAAATCGTATCTTAGATAAATTTTTAAAGATACTGTATGTTGTATTATTTTGAAATTTTTACCAAGTATCTTGAATCTTCGTCATAAAATAGTATTTGTATCTATATTTGACTACAATTTTAAAAAATTTGCCTAATTCTAATATTTTTTGTATTTGCGACTGTATTAGGAGGAATTAGGTGAAAGCACTCCCGTAAAATTAAATATAAGAAGAAGATATAAAAGAAGTACTTATGATCGCCCCAAGAGTCTTTATGAATATAGAAAAAAAGGTATATTAATAAATAAAGGTAATTTTTAACATAATATAAACATTGTTATACCTTTGAAGGAACTCTAAAAAGTTACTCTTCTTTAACATCATCAAATTAATTCTCAAAACATATTCAATTAAGTAAAATACTCTTGAGTGGGTAATCTTTTAGAATTGTATTAAAAACTTGTAAAATTATTATGTTAAAATTTAAAGAGAAACAATATTCATTTAAAAGTTATGTGTCCAGTATGCAAAGAAGGTCCCCACGGGCCTAAGGGTCCTGCTGGTAGAGATGGAATTCCGGGCAAAAATGGTTATGACGGTTCACCTGGAAAGCCTGGGAAACAAGGATTAGACGGAAAGCCTGGACCGAGTGGGCAGGATGGAAGACCTGTATGTTTTACATTGTAGAATTAAAGTTAATTTAGAGTTTTGTAAAAATCATTTAGGTGAGTGACTTATTTTTATAGGTATATATTTATTATTTAAGGATTTATGGCAACTTAGAGCTTGTCTATCTAAAAAATGAAAGAACTACGTTTATTTCTCACTAAATGAAACAATATAATACACTAAATTTTTTTTAACCCTTGCTATTATAATAATTATAATTTCTATAAAAATAAAACAATTCAATTATAAAAAGGGTCATCCAGGAGGTCCGGGAGCAGATGGAAGACCAGGTAGGGATGGAAAACCAGGGATACCCGGTTTACCGGGCCTAGACGGGATCACAGGAAAAGATGGAGACCCTGGGAGAGACATTTTAGAACCAGTTTATATGATATAATATAATACGAATTATATCCAATAATATTATTTTGGTTATTAAATAAACCCTGCATTGCATAGCTCGTATTAAATTAACATAAATTTGTCAGTAAAATATTTTATAAGATATTTAGAAGTATAATTATAAAACACAGTATATTCACAACACAAATGTGAAGCCGATTATGAATCATTAACGTTTACATATTTATACACGTTTTAAAATCCATTTTTTCAAAAATCTTTATGTAGCTGAAAAAAATATTTAATTAATAAAGGTTACATTTTTCAAGAATAAATAATATATAATTATCAAATTAGGTCTGCAAGTGGCAAGCTAAAAAAAATTAAATAATGAATGGGAGGCAGGTGAGTTAAAAATATTTTTAAAACAATGAGCGTGGGTTAGGTGAATTGACTAAATGAGCAGAACTGGCTTATATTAAATAAAAATAATGTTTTTTATTTCATATAACCATCAAATAATTTTTAAGCATTGGCGAGTGAGCCAAACAAAATTTTTGTGTCAAAGGACAGGAATCATTTTCTAAAAGAAATGGATGGACGGACAGGGGGGGGGGTAAAAAATCTGTTCATTGTAAACGTCTATATCAAATAAAGGTAGTTAGAATTTATAATAATTTCAAACAAATTAATTCTTATTATTTCTATCTAAATTAAATTTCTACCATAGCTTAAAAAAAGATAACGATAAAATTTTGTTAGGGTAAAAAAAAATATATGGTTTGATGGTATCACTATATTTTTTGATATTGCGTGCAATACAGGGTTAAATACGAAATCATATTTACTGAAATGTGACCCCACTTACCTTCATTAAATGTATATATGACAAAAATGTCTTTATGAAGGTCAAATAGGATAAAAATATTTGACCTTAAAAATGTTATGATCGGAATTTAAAGTATTATCCTTTTAATTGTAGAGCAGACATCATGATGAATATACCATACTTATATGAATGTTAAAAGATGGGTATTAAGCTTTAATATATTAGGTTAATCAAGAAATGATGGTGGGGTGTAGTAATTTCCAATTTATATATTCATTTTATCTCGCTACTACATTTTTTTCTTAAATCTTTGTAGTTTTATATAACTAATTATTGTATAACTTTGAACTTCATTTAGCTTATTGAATTTTATTATGCTAATTATAAATAGGGACCAGAAGGAAAACCTGGAAATCCAGGACAAGATGGTCCAAAAGGTAATTCGGGCTTAGATGGTAAGCCAGGTTCAAAAGGAATAGATGGTAAATCTGGAACTTCGGGAAGTCCAGGATACCAGGTCAATTATCATTATATAAAATCATATTTCGATTGTGGTTTTAATTATTTAAACACCTAATTTATACACTAATTCTATTAATATTAACATCTCAGTTAATCATCAGACTTATCTATACTTATTATTTTTTTTAAATTGGCTTATGTAAACATAATGATTTCTTTATGGCCATTCAAGACTTGGCCAGATAAAACTTACTGTAATTTTATTAAGTGCCTACACATCTATACTAAGGAAGAGTTGTAAGTTCTTTTTTAGAAAATATTTATACAAAATATCAGTAATTTGAATGAGTAGTACTAAAAACAATTTTTAAAGTATTTTCTTATGGATTTCTCAATTGAATATATAAACGGCGAGATATATTTCATGAATATACATATTTGGACCAATTTTACGAGAAATCGGTCAATTGAATGGAATTTTAAAGTCGGGTTGCAAGTCTACGTCTATGGCCATTTATGTTATACTGAAAATTACATATTAGGGCTATATTTTAATAATTTAATTTATAAGTATACACATTAAAATCATTCATCAATCAAGTCAAAATTTCAAAATTGAAATAAATTTAAATTATTAATTTGATGGATGTGATAATTTTTTCTGAATTAATAATTTATTTGCGAATATGAAAATGTTAATTTTTTTATTCTTTTTAGAATACATTTACTTATTTTAATGTTATATCATTTTGTTGTTACAAAATAAAAGGGTTTGCCAGGAAATCCAGGTAAGGACGGTGATCCCGGCCCAGATGGATTACCTGGAAAGGATGGCGATCCAGGAAGAGACGGAGACTCGGGTAAGGATGGCATACCGGGAAAACCGGGTCCAAAAGTAATTATACAAAATTCTGGTAAATAATGATTGTTTTTCTGAAGTTTCTTAAACTATCTAAATTAATTTAAAAACAAAATAGAGACCATATCCGTAATAACCACCTCACTGAGTGCCCAATTTTATGGAAATTTTATTATTTAAAAAAATCACATAAGATCTTTTGTTTATTGCGAAACAACAACATATTTAAGGGGAATCTTTTTTTAAAATTAATCTAATTTTTGAAAAAATAACTGACATGTAAAAATGTCAGGAGGACAAAATGTTATTGAATTATAAAAATATAAAAAATTAAAGATTGTCCAAGGACATTCTATTTCTAGCACCATTAACTTCACCATAAGGTTTCAAAAAATGAGATAATAGGGTTATTTAATAAATAAACTAAAAATGTTATATTTTTAGCCAATGAATATTTTCCAAATTTAAGTATGGCAACATTTTTTATTTTAACACTATTCTTGCTATTATTTAACCGAAATAATTTTAAGGGTCCCCCAGGACTAATTGGAATTGACGGAAAAATAGGGCCCCCGGGTGATCCAGGAAAGGATGGTTTACTCGGTAGAAATGGTGAACCTGGCAAAGATGGGCGTCCCGGTGAAACTGGAAATCCTGTATAATATGATTTGCAATCTAATAATATTCTGTTTTATATCGTAATTCTCTAACTATAAAGAAATTCCAGATGTGTGAGAGAGACAACTTTTTTACTTTAATATTATTAATGATCAAGTTAAATATATTGAATAATCTATTCCATTATATTAGATTATCTGGAATCTTTCATATGTTTATTTATTTTTACCAATATTAAATTTATCAATAAACATTAAACTTTTATAATTAAGGGCCAAGTTGGCGATTCAGGTAAAACGGTAAATGGAAGGGATGGTATTCCAGGTAAAGATGGTCTACCAGGACGGGACGGAATACCAGGTAGAGAAGGAGAGCCAGCACCACCTGGAGAAAATGGAGATAGAGGTCCGGCAGGCAGAGATGGATCTGAGGGTTCCCCCGGCAAAAATGGGCTAGATGGATTACCCGGAAGGGATGGACACCCAGGTATCAGTTTATAATGATATATTAATTTGTAAATTTACTAATATTAACACAGAGATGTTATACATTAATTTATAAGTAATCCCCTCTAGATTAACTAATTCAAAATATTTTTTTGTTGTGGGTCACAAAATAGGCAAAGATGGTTTTTCAATTCGATATCCGGGTCCACCTGGAATTCCTGGTCCACCCGGTAAAGATGGATCAAATGGTAACCATGGCGAACCTGGTCTAGATGGCTTGCCCGGCAAAGATGGTAAACCTGGCAAAGAGGGAGAAACTGGACCTCCTGGAGAGCAGGTGAGTTATTAAATAATATAATCATAAAGGGGGTTATTTATTTATATTTGAGCGTTTGATAAGGTAAACCTAGGTTTTGAAAATCGAAATGAAATAAAAAAACTTGTTGTTTATATTTTAATTTTACAATTTTATATAAGATATTGGTAACAAAAACATTTTAACCCAGTTTGGATAAAATTTGGATACTTTTCTGTGAAATTCCAATTTGGTATAGGTTAGGATATAATAAGAAAACATCAATTAGCTGGGAAATATAGACTCAGGCATCAAATAAAGATATGCTTTAAAATCACTCGTTCGATATGAAAAATGTTCGAAATCTGGAAATATTAGATTCGTTATTTAAAATGTCTGTTATTTTATATATTTTTTAAATGATCGCTAATAATAGCGTCATGTTTGACCATCTAACATTTCTTCAATTTTGGAGTTAATTTTAATTGTACGTTATTTATTAGAGATTCAAAAACATGTGGTATACCACGGTTAGCCTTAAGAAATCTATTATTTTGATGGACATTTTATATATTAAGAATAAAATCATATTGGAGTTTATAAGAAATATTTATTAAAAATATTCTTAATATTTAGATATGTAGGCCAATGAGGGTTCTTTCTCAAAATTCTATAGTCAGAATCAGAACTAAAATATAATAGTTTGAGATTCAATTTTTAAATTGAAATAATCTATTTACCTAATATAAGTTCTTAGTTTTAAGTGTGAGATTTTAAATTGGCGGATGATCCGAGAGTATTAGGCGAAAGTCATTTTTAATGTTTTTTTATTACATCAAACAAAGCTTTTTGAAAACTTTATATTTCTTAAAATGATACAAGCAATATTAGAAGTTTTTAATGTTGAAATTCAAAGTTTTTGATTACTCTTTCAAAAATGATAGTTTCGATATGTTTTGGAAAGAAGTTAATTTAAAGGCAAAGGAATTAAATTTAGAGATAGATAGGCGCATTTTAAGGTGACAGGAAAAAAAATACTCTATTAAAATTCGGTAAGAATTTATTATCATACCATCATTTTGGGTCAGTTACTGAATATACAGACAAATTTATTATCAACTTAGATTATACAATAGCAAGTATAAAAAATCGTTTCAACAAACCAGTAATAGATCATTTAAATACAAAGCAATTTACTATCCAAAATCTTGATGGAAATTATGTTTCAGTATTCTATGGAGCTGATTTTGAAATGATTCCTCTAATTTCATATAGAGGTATGTTTCTGCACTACTCAGTTGGAAGAATGTACATTAAACTCTTTAAAGGACGTTATAACCATATTAAATGAGCAGCGTAAGAAAGAAATTATTTCGATTTTTTAGAGCATATAAAATTTATTAAAATACTAATAACAATCCCTACAAGTTATTGTTCTGCGGAAAAATCGCATTCAGGACTAACACGTGTTAAATCTTATTTACTTTTTACGATGAAACCACACCGACTAAATATGCTAATAAAAAAGCAAAAGAACTTGATTTAAAGGTGATAATGATTATTATAAATGAAAATGAAATAAGAAGAATCAGATTTTACCTTAAAAAAATATTAACATATATTATATTATATCATTCGCAAAATAAAAATTAAAAAAACTTTAATGGAAAAAGGTAAGATTTTCTATACTAAATTAAAATTACAAGTTTTTTTAAATATTTTTTTCCAATTAATTAAAAATTTAAAAAAAATTTCAAACCCCTTAAACATTCTTATAAGTCGCCACTATGATATTTTTTATTTTATTGAATAATTTTAAGAATTTAGGAAATATCTGAAATCAATTTCTGCATTTCCTAAATATTATAGAAAAGATGTGAACATTTACTTTTAGCTAAGTGTCTCAAATATTAACCTTAATTTTCCAAATGGTGTTTTTGAACTGGGATTATCAAATTTGCTGTATTCTGTTAAAAATTTACAAAAGACAAAAATTTTTAAACTCAACATGCCCTTTAAGATTTTTATAAACTTTCGGCCCAGCCCGTAAAAATAATGGACCGCGAAAGGCAAATTTCTAATTTATAAGACCTGATAGTATGACAACTATACCTTGGGCCATCGGTAAATCACTAATATGGGATTTCGCATGTGTCTCATCATTCCCTTCAAACATAAATTTCAATTTAATAACACTGGAAGAAATTAAAAAGACAAACAAATACAAAATTTTAAAAAACTTCATATTCACTCCAGTAGTGACCTCTAATTCGCCTTCAACATTTATGTTTTTAAAAAATCTGGGTAATAAAATACGACTTTTCACAAATGAATCCAGAGAATTTCTTTTTATTCGACAAAAAATTAAAATAGAAATTTTTAGACACAATTAGGGTTCCTTTTTGGGGACTCAATTATATAATTTTATTTTTAATTATATAATTATAAATTTAGAAATTATATTTTTTTAACTAGGTTTTATGTAAAAAAGAAATTTAATAAAATATTTTAATTGTAAAAAAAAAGAAAAAGTAATCAACTCATAATTCAGGAATTTTACATAAAAAAATTAATGAAAATTAAATGTCTGCCTGGAAAGGGGGTAGACGCATCGTCGACATGGGTGCTTTCCCTCTAGAATATAGCGTCCTTGTGGAATAAGACTCGTCTTAGTATACCTTGGAATACGTACCGTTTAGATATAGAGTCATAAGAATGAACCTGTCCTTGAAAAAGATAGAAAAGACGGAATGATTATTTTTATTATTTATAAAAAGATTAATATAAAAAGATATTCATTTTTTTTAATGTACCTACCCCTTGAATATATTATATATATTTATTTATAATATCTTTGCGCATCTTATATATAGTCAGGAGAGTAAATCACCTGCTTCTTTGAACCATATATTTACAATCATAATAATCAATATACAATCCAATAAGTATATTAATTGAAGACCAAATCATAATTATATCAGAGATCCACGAATACGCATCGGTGTCAAACGGTATTGATATTGGATATATTTTATTATTTTGAAGATACCAGTTTATTCAACTCTCTAAAGGTTAGTGTTCTAAATTTTCGATATAATTTTGCACAAAAAAAATTATATTATTTAATATTATTAAATATTTTTATATTGTAAAAATACTTAATTTTTTAGACCATTTTTATTTTTTATTTAATATAATAATGTTTCTAAAAAAATTTATTATAAAAGATATTCTCCGTCTGATTTGGTTCCTTTAAAAAAAACTAACCTCGAAAAGAAAATAAGAAATTGTATATGTTTTTTCAATAATTTTTGTATAAGTGCCAGATATCGGTGGTATCGGCCGGATACCCGGCAGTATTGAAGTAACGACATCAGTATTCGCTAAGAACCATTATATTTCTAGATTCTATTTATTCATTACATTAAAATTCGGGAAATCTTTAGTATCTAATCAAAGGAAAATCGGCATATTAAGTTAAAATCTAATTATTTATTTATTTAAAAAATACCTTGCCACTATTGGAACTATCAATTTTATTATATCTGCTTCTTCATTCTCTCTTTGCTAGCTGATTAATGCACCACCATTCCTCTACAATATATAAACCTTTGCTCAACAGTAAACGCTAATTTATTCTACTAAGTGTCGTGGTGTTTGGAATAGTTATTCCCAGGGATGCGAACCGGGCAAAATTTTTTAAAAAAATAGATGGGTTCGGTTCGGGTTTGGTTCAGGGAAATTTTTTAAACCCGGGTTTAATTCCGGGTTCAGCTCGGCTTTAAGAATATTTTAATTGATAAAAAAATCTATATTTAAATCATAATTGAAAAACTAGACATAGATTTGATACAAAAGATAAATTTTTTATTTTATTTATAGGCAAAATATAGTTAAAAATACAAAGCATAGTCATGTATCAATTTTAAAAATTTTATTTAGACAAATTTCTTTAAATTAACAATATACAATATAATAATTTTTACTTTTACTTGTTCACTTTCATTTTCCTCTAATTAATAATCTTTGAGAATAAGTTAAAAATTAAAAATAAATGGCGTAAATGAATTTAATTGTTTAAAATTTATTAACACTTTATAATAGGAATCTTTGGGAATAAAAAATTTTAAAATGGCGTTAAGTTGTTTAAAATTTATTAACACTTCACGACAATATTAAAATCTCAATTAAATTATTAATATTTTTATTTACAATTATACAAATATCTTATATGATTTTAAACAATACACTTGAACCGGGTTGAAAACCCGCAAATAAAATTCCCAGGTTCGGTTCGGGGTTTTGAAAATTTTATAAACGGGGTTCAGGTTCGGTTCGGGACCAGATTTTTTTTCAAAAACCCGGGGTTTCTTCTTTGGGTTCGATTCGAATCCCTGATTTTTCCAGTTATCATAACATGGAATTTTAATGGGAAGATGAAAATCGATAGAATTATAGAAATAGGAGAAAAAACAGGTGATCACAGCACTATGGATCAGTCATTATTATTCAATCAAAATAGTTTTAATTCTGAATGGATGCCTGTCATCACCCAATTGAAAATGTATACTTTGGAATCCTCAGATTTAAATGTTAAAATTTGGTCAATAATAATATAAGACAAATTCTGATAATACGAAACTATCATTTAAAGGAAATATTATGACGTAAAATAAAATATTATTAAAAATTTATAATCTTACAAAATGACAAGGGACGGTGCATTCAGAACTAAAAATGGGAGACCATATGGGAAGGGCATATAACCTTCTCTATCTACATTGTCATATATTCTTAGCTTGTAAATAACAAATTTGGCACACTATTTTAAAATTCATTTTTTTATGGAATAGGAGAACTAAAAATTATATTTATTTTTATAAACTTGGCATTTAAATATTTTTTAAAATAAAATCTAAACAGGGCTTACAAGGATTTAGAGGATCAGTGGGCAGAAATGGTAAACCTGGAAGAATCGGTAATACAGGTCCGTCTGGAGATAAAGGCTCTAAAGGACCAGAAGGACCTAAAGGTATACCAGGTAAAGATGGTGTGCCTGGAACCGATGGCAGGTCTGGGGATAGGGGACCTCAAGGAGATGCGGTTTTTAATTTTAATATATAATGTTTAAAAAATAGAGATTTTTCAATAAAATATTTATTTCTATAAAAAAAAATTAAGAGGTTGTATATAAGAATTACTATTTATGTGCAAAATTTAAAAGAAAAAAATGGAATTCTCTATCAGAAACATATCATTTACAATTTTAATATGGCTATTTTAAAGAGGTAATTATATATTAAAATTTTTCAATCATAAAAGCATATTGATAGAGGGCTAAAATTTGAATATCTTTTTTCGATTATTTTTTGACGAAATCGTGTTGAATAGAATAGATTTTGCTTGATTTGAAGTGAAATACCAAATATTATATATTAAAATTATAATATATAGGCAACCTATCGTAAATAAATCTTTTAACAACTTTTCTAGGGAACTGATGGCACCCCAGGTATTGATGGGAAATCAGGTGAGAAAGGATTAATGGGAATTCCAGGAAAATTAGGCCACAGGGGAGCCCCTGGAAAAGATGGTGACAATGGTAAATCTGGAAATCCTGGTAGGCCTGGGAAGAATGACAAATGTGATTGCAGCATTCCTGAAATTAGCGGAGATGGCTCTACAACGTATGTTAGATACGGTCGCTCAGAGTGTCCTTCTAATACTGGTGCGGAGTTGATTTATACAGGTATTTGATTCACCTTTTTGGAATATTTATTAGAATATATTAATTAACATTATTAATTGCAACAGGTTATGTTGCAAGCGGTCATTTCTTTTACACGGGTAGTGGTGGAGATTATCTATGTTTGCCAAAGGAAATGCAGTACAATAAATATAGCGATGAATTTGATTCAAAATCAAAAATTTGTGGATCCATTTTTAAATTTGGTAGAGGAGAAAATCATCCATTCCGAATTAATTGGCAAGCTGATGCTCTTCACCAGACAACGATATCGTCTTCCAATTCAAATAGTAATAAGATGCCGTCAAACGACGATATTGAAATGACAACAACTGGAATCAAAGTTAAAAAATCAACAAAAAAAGAAAAAAAAATAATTTCTAAAGAAATCAAAGACTCAGACGATACATCTATCCTAGAAGTTAGATCTCTGAAAGATAAAGACAAAATAGAGAGGACTATTAGAGAACCTAGCTTATTAGATTTGGTTAAGGATCTGATTGACCCTGATTTACAACCTTCAACATTTAAAACGAATCCAAACTCTTCAAAACAAGCAGAAAGAAGCGCTGCAGATTATCAAACTTATGAAATACCATCATCCCAACCTCAACCACCATATCATGAAAAGATTCCAGGTGACCCCTTATCCGGGCTTACAGCGTTATGTTCTGTGTGCTACATTGCTACTAGAAACACAAATATAATGATTCCTGGGGACTCTCGATGTCCAGAGGGTTGGACCCGTGAATATTATGGATACCTTATGGCTGCTAATTATAAACAAGCCCGTACAGCTTACATATGTATGGATGAAGAACCCGAGGGAGAGTATATCCCTGATAATACTAAAGTTGGCGGATCTACTTTATATTTGGTGGAAAGTCAATGCGGAAATTTGCCTTGCAGAAAATATCCAAATGGATATGAAATGCCTTGCGCTGTATGCACTCGTTAATGTAATCATTTATTTAACCATCAGTAGCATTATTTTATTTTCACATTATTTTTAATTTTATATTATATAGTTATGTATTTTTATCAAACAAAAAATTATATAAAATATTCGTATATATCAATCAAATAATAATATTATAACAATCTAATAAAAATTAATGAGGAAATCCCACAAAATTTTCAAAAATTAGAAAATTTCATTTTTATCTATTCTGTTATTTCGATTTCATTTTCACGATTTTATCAAAGCAAAAAAATATATTGAAAATACCAATGTTATCACAATAATGAATTGAGCATAAATGTTAATTTTGGTAAAAATTAAAGTATAATGATAAAATTTCATCAAATTAATGAATCAATTTTGCCAATAGGTTGCCTTTGCCATATGTTGCATAATGCAACTAAAAAAGGTAAAATATTTTAATGTTTGATGATATAGAATTAATAACTATAAAGTGGTGCAAATATATTCAACAGATTAGAGCTTAAAAATTACAGATATTTATGACATTGAATGGACAGATGTTGTAAAGTGTGTGCCTATGAGATACTTGTCACTTTTTCATGCGACTAATTAGCTATCAATCTCATTTTATTAACTTATAATACATACAAATTAAAAATATTTTATTCTAATAGCTCATCTAATCCAGTACTATAAATGTCTACTAACAATTCGAGGTTTAGGGTTCATATATCGTAAGGTAAAATTTTTCCACGTTTTTTTATTAAAATAAATTCAATACAAAATCTATTATAATAATCCACAAAAAACGTCAATCAAAATTAACCAATAGTGTTCTTTTAAAAAATATTTGTCCAATGATAATCACTATAGCAATTTTAAGCCAATTCTCATGTGATTTATAATATGACGAATATACTCAACACAATATCCATATCAAATTTGCCATTGCAGGTAAAATACTCTTATTTCAGCAAATTTTATTTAGATAATATTTTTAAAATATTTGTTGCTGAACACCAAAGTAAACACTATTTATTTCAGTATATCCAAAGAATAGTCAAGTTTAAATTCTTCAATTATTTTATTTTTGATGTGTGAACTTTCATTAGAGTCTATGAATCTGGGCTGAATCAAGGAGATTTGGTTTCAAAGTTAAATTTCAATTATTTTATTTTTGATGAGATCACAAATACCAAGGTAAAAATTTATATATTTTATAGGTTTTTGATAAAATGCCTAAAAATATTTCATTTAAATTTAGCCTATTAAACTGTGACTAACTTAAAAATATATTGCAATTTTTTTCTTCTAGGGATAATAAATCCCAGTATTGCAAACAAAATGATTGCCTTAAATAGCTTAAATATTGTTTATTTTGATTTAAAGCAATAAATTAAATTTTTGGATATGGGCTTGGGCAAAATTTTTGAAACTTATGATGGGTTTGATTTTTTTTTATTAAATATGGAATGGGCCTGCAAATTAATTTTACTGCTGACCTGAGCAGGAGGCTGATGAATAAATCATGGCCTGTGAAGGTCTCTAATTTCAATAACTGAACTATTTCATTTCTCATCTAACTTTATTTGAACTTAAAGAAATGGGCAAACCATAGATATGCCTTATTTAAATCATTTGCAAAAAAATTTCTGATAATTGCTGGATTCAAGAAATGGTTGGGCACAAGGAAATAAAGTAAACCATTGTGAAGTGTATATATGGAGGAAATATTAATCCATTTTTTTAGCATAAATAACAAAAAAAAAATGCCTGTTGTGACCTTGCTTTAAATTTACATATATTTTAGGGATTTTTATGAACTCTTTATCAAAAATATTAGTTAATTGCCCGTCAAGAATGACGGGTAATCAGAATTTTCTTCTTTATTTAACGATGGATGAATAATAAATTTTACCTTTATTTGATGATAAATGAATCAGAAATTTTCCTATCTTATGAGATGTGATTCAGAAATTTATATTTATTTAGATGAGGGATTAATCTAAAAATTTTTATAAAATATATTTATGAAGTATATGGTTAGTGATTTTAATTTATGTGCACGATAAAAAATCTTAACTAAATTTTTATTCATTTGTATTTGTAATTTAAAATAATATATTCTTGCTAGAACCTCATAAGATAGGAAATCTGATTCATTCATCACATACACGTAGCCAAGATTTTCATAGGGGGGGGAATTACAAAATTACTGGGGGCCTCGCTCCCCAGACCCTATTTTTGGCGGGCCTTTGGCCAGCTTTTGTCCGGCCTTCGGCCGGATTTTGGTCTATATAGTCATAAAATATTTTTACAAGAATTTTTAATAAAAAACATAAGCCTGGAACAAATATGAAATACATTTTTATTAGTTTATATAAAATATAATAGATTACTTTTGTATACATTAATATAAAAGTGTTATAAAGAGATAACGGTGGTGATAGATAATGGTGGTGTTTTTTTATTTATAATAAATTTATTCTAAAACTAAAAATGATACTAAAAATAAATATAAAACAAGGTATATATAGACATGTGCGCCGACAGCATTTTCGACGGCGGCGTTTCTTTTTTTTAAAATGATCAGCTGGCGGTGGCGAATCGATTTAGACGCCGCCAAATATTTTTCTAACTTAAATTTTTTTGATTAAATTTATAAATTCATTGGAAACACTTTTAAAATATAATTTATACTTTATTATGTTTATAACTATAATTAAATGATTTTATTAAGTTATAATTATCATGAATAAATATTATTTTATTAAGATTTAAAGGACATAATAATGATCTTTTAGAGTTCAGAGTGAGCCCAGCTATAGAAAATACACGCTCTCTGGGTGTGCTCGTAGCTGGAACGCACAGGACCTTTCTAGTTAATATTGAAAGTTTAGGAAAATCCAATGCTCTTATCTTCCAAAAATCTAAGACATCTCTTATCTCCAAATTATAAGGCGAAAATAATGAATAACACTCTTTTTCTAAACTAGTTAAATAGTGTTGTTGTTCCAGGTTATTGTTTTGAATAGATGAATGTTTCGTAGCCAATGACTTAAGATAATCGAGTTTTGAAGCAACTTCCGTCGTTTCACATTCGTTTAATTCGTCCGTGTAAGGCCGTAGAGAGGTAGCGTGTTGACATAAAAATTCAACCGGAGAATATTTTTTCCTTTAAATTTTCATTTCCTATGTTTATTGATTGAAAACGAGGATCCAAAAATGCTTCTAACACCTAAGGAAAAAAAATAAAAGAAAGAGAAATAATTAATAAAAAATAATTTATGTATTTTAAAATACTACCTGAAGATCGTATTGGAAATCTATGATCAAATTTAGTAAGCGTATTTTGTTTAAGGGATGCTATGGGCGGACTATCATATTCTTTTACAATTAAATGATTTTTAATTTCACGATGAAATAATAAGGCTAAATTTATAGTAACTCCTTTTTGGACAGATAAAAATTCAACAGTTTTTTTGAAGGTTTTAAGAAAATTTAAAAGTTCATGCACCAAGTACCAATCGGAGTTAAATAATTTGAGATCCGGTTTCTCCATTCTATTTAATAGAATATTTATAGGATTTTTGTTATTGCCAGTCACACTTTCCAGCATTATTAAAATACTATGCCAACGTGTAGGCACATTTAATTTTAAGGTTTTATGTTTTTTCTCATATGATTTTTGATTTTCACTATCATCATCAAACCCCAAACTATCTTCATAAAAAGGATCATTATCATCCAAATCTAAAATATCCGATGTATATGATATCGATTCAAAACATTTTCTATTTTCTATATCGTTTATATTTTCAAAATCTGCCATTTTGAATCTTAAGGCAACTATAACTTCTCTCACTTTTTTAATGAGATTTTCTATTTTATTAACTTTTTTTATTCCATCGAATGTCACTAGATTATGTAATCCACTCCCCAAACATAAATGATGGTCACATTCTCCTAGACGAATACTTTTCTTTACATTGGGTCCTGCACCCGTAACCATTTGAATTTTCTTGGACCCTAAATCAAATTCATTTTCAACTTTTTCTATTTCGGAAAGAATAGTTTCAGCGGTATGTTTTTGGGTGACATGATGTGTCGCCAATGTATAAAATACAAGATTAAAATTATTATCTATTTCGTGAAAAGTAAAGGTGATATAATTTCGCCGTCTATATTTGTCTGTCCACATATCAAAAGTTATAGCCCAAAATTTAGGACCTACATTAATTTGTTGGCATATGTATGCTTTCATTGATAAATAAACATCATCTAATCCACTCCGGCTAAGTGTAGTTCTGTCAGGTAATTCTTTGGCATCTGAAATAATGCCATATTTCTACATAATAAAAAGTTAATAATAAAATATTATGCCATAAAAAATTCTAAATGTGGGATGTTATAAAATAATTAAATATCTTAACAAATAAAAATTAAGATTGCCCTATAAAAAATTATAATGATTTTACAAATAACCTTTAGAAAATCTTGCATCCAGTATTATTTATAGAAGAGAATGGCATTAAATCCTTGCAACAAATGAGAACATAATTCCTTACCAGAATCCTTTTTTTTTATCTTTTATAGGGTCAGTTGTATCTTTTACAATGGGTTTGAAAAATAACTTTAAATTTTGTTTAGATATTTCTTCTTTACATGATAAATCATGTTTGTCAAGTAAATGTTTTATTATATTTGATGTGCTGATATTTTTTGAAAAAGATTTGATTGGATAACTAATTAAAAAATTTACTAATATTTATAAAATAATCAAAAAATTTACTCTGAAAATGTAGAATTATTTTCATCCTCACCATCTTTATCAAGTGCTATTTGCAAGCATAAATTACAAAAGACTTTATCTGTAGCAACACTGGTTCTCTTATTATTTGTGTCATTTTTAATATTAAGGATCCAAAATGTTTCCATGCAAAAGAAGGTTTTGCTTGCAAGGATATACTATATTTTGTTACAGGGTATTGCAATGCTGCATCCATTATAATTGTTTTAGTGCTCGTATTTTTATATA